AAATTTAAAAAGAGAGATGTAGAGACTGTGACTCACAAGGAAAAAGCCAGAAGATGACAGGCAGGTACACACCGATGTGGCTATGCCAAGCCAGAAACACCAAGGATCACCAGCAGCCACCAGGACCTGGGAGAGGCACTAGGCCACAGTCTCCGAACCCCAAGATAAAACATCCCGGTCAACCTCTGTCCCTGGCCTCTACCACCGAGATGGTGAGTTTCTGCTGCTGTAAGCCACCAGGCCAACCACGTGGTTAAGACAGCCCCAGGCACACACAGCCCAGCCTGGAAAAACCGGAGCCCCTCACTTGTCCAACTCTGTGGGACACTGCAATTCCAGCCTGGCTCAACTATTTTTTGCCCATGGCTCCTCTCTAATTTCCCCTAGGCGTTTATTTTAATTCTTCCTCAGCCTCCCGTTTTGGAGTTAATTACATAGGTCCAACCATAATCACGGTGGGTGAGGCCAGGCTTCCTTCTGCAGCCCAGCGCAGGCCAGCATCCCTTGTCCAGGGACCCAGTCTCTGCCTGGTCCCACCCCGACCAGCGGCCTCTGAGGCAGCATAACCTTCAGGAGCCCTGACCCTGGAAAACAGCTGCACAGGCAGAGGCCAGCTTCAGGGACAGGGAGAGGGCCTGGACAGTGACGTGTGGCTCCACCACGAAGCAGCCTGATCTCTCTTCAAGAGACCTCCCTGGACTCCGTTCACTTGATGTCCTTCTTCCTCACCTTTGTCCTGTGAATCATCTCATCTTGCACAAAGGGAAACTGAGGCAGTAAGCATGAAGAACTTCAGTGCCCAAGCAGAGGGCAGCAGGGACCAGAGAACAAGTCCACATCTGCAGAGTAACGTGAGGTGACGGGTTCTGCCTGAAGGTGGGGTCACCTGATGCCTCAACTACATGCTGACTCCTCTCTCCGTCACTGTACAATTAGGGAAACCGAGGCCTAGGGTGGCAGGGACCTGGGGAGGAGCACCCGGCTTGACCACGTGTCGTCAGCCTCTTACCCTTCCCACAGAGGGGCAGCAGCTGTTACGCAGCTCAGACCTCTTCTTCCCCCGCTGCCGCAGCGCAGGGAGGGCATGAGGCCAAGGTCCAACCAGTGGGAATCACTCACTCCCACACTGCAGATGGGCTCAGAGTCTGGAAGACTGGAGGCAAGAGGCAGAGGGCTAAGGCTGCTGCAACTCCATCACAACATGCAACACCCTCAGGGGCACAGGCAGAGCGAGCGTGAATGAGGGCGGCCCAGGCAGTTGTCAGCAAGGGGGCAAACCTTCCCTGTCCTGGCCCACGCCGATGGGGTTGTCACTTGCAGCAGGCCAAAGCAGCAGGCTGCCATTTGTTGAGGACGCGCCGAGAAGGCACAGGCCAGCACCTTCTGCTGCTTACAGCCTTCCCTGGGCTCCACTCAGTGGGCCTTGGTGGAGGGGGACCCGGAGTAGACTGTGCTAGAAACTTCCTCGACTCCTCTCCATGCTCACCAGCCCCCTCGGATCTAATCAGGCCAAAATCACATTAGTGCCTGGACACAGTCTCCCAGCTCAGTCGGACAACAGACAAGACGGGGTGCTGCTCTCTG